ACCACCTGCGCCACCCTGCAGCCCAAGCCAGATCATATAAAACAAAATTTAAAACATGGAGCCAAATTAGAGAAACAAAATTAAACGTACTGGATCAAAAAATGATAATAATAATTCAGTCGCTTTCAGTCAAAAACAGTTTACTGAAAAGTAAAATTCAGCCTTATGTTTTGTTTCCCAGTCTTATGATTTGCTGCATTATAACTGTGTCAAAAAACTGTGTCCATAGTCCAGAAGGTTTAACAACACTCAACAAGAAAACACAGACAGAACACTACAAGACACAACCTATAATACGACCAAAAGCACCATAAACAAGAAGCAGCAGATCATTCATTACCCAGTTTGACTTTAAAACGTTCCCAGTCAGGATTTAGTTTGAGTTCTGCAGGTCGCGAGTTACACGTGTTCATATACAGGCTTCATTAGAAGACAAGTGTTGATCTTCTGAACAGAAAAAGCTGTTTGGATTTGCTGCACATGCGCCTGAACTCTGAGAGGAAGCACAAGGCCACCGAACACCTGAGGATTATGTGCTTCTTAACATTGGATATGACAAATACAGTCAATAAGAGCTGGATGTAAACTATCTGAAATGTTGTGCTATCCTTCTCTCGCCACAGAGCTCTCCAGCTATAATAACTTTATTTCCCTTTGTCATCCCTCTTTCCTTCCCTCTCGCAGTTATCTCAGCCCTCATTCATTCCCTCTCTTGCTCTCCATATGAAGCTCTATGAACAGGCTTTACGCACCGCGTTAAAGTATTATTGCAAGCTTTATCCCTCTTTTATATTCACTTCCTCCTCCTAAACCTCTCTCCCTTCCTACTATAGAGCACCATCACAGTTGTGGCTGTGATTAGATGTTGCTCTGAGTCCGTTTCTCCTCCCTTAAAGGAACAGTCTGCAAATAAGAAAAAGATCTTTTAGTGTGTGAGTGATGGTGTTTGTCTCAGAGAAGGCAGAAATAGTGTGACATTGTCTTGCTGCTCGGCTCGGCCTATAAGAAATGACTTTGAAGCAGAGGACTGTTGGTCACATCCCACTTTTGCCCAACAGTCACCTGAAGCTTCTTTTAACTACAACCTTGACTTTCCCCCACGTAGATTTATCTTCAAGCACTAACCAAACAGGGGCGTTAACAGATCGATGTGCCAGACTTTCTAAAGGATTATGAATCCAACCAATA